CCCCCCCCCCCCCCCCCAGGCGGCACCCATCCACAGCCACCCGGCTCGGGCAGTCCTGGGGGGCACTGCAGCCTTGGATGGAAGCACTAGGCCCCTGTGCAGCTCAGGCAGGCAGGCAAGCTATAGGAAAAAAAAAAAAAAGATCAAGCTCACCGCTTTTTTTTTTCTTGGGCAGAGTCTGCCTTCCCAGACTGCTGCCAGGCTGGTGGCACGAGTTTCCTGCAGAGCCCCTGAGCTGCATGGAGCCCAATGCTTCGCTCCGCTGCTGTAGGGCAGCAAACTAAAACTCCTTGGAGGAGTTTTCATTTTCTGCACTCCAAGTAATTTAAGGCACATTATGCCACCAAATTTGGTACAGCGGCTGGAATTACTGCGCAATAAGCCGCCAACGTGCAAACACCAACACCATTAAAGCAGTGCAAAAGCATTTAACCTGCTTTTAACTGTCATGCACACATGCCCCTCGTTTCATCTACACATGGCCATAGACGTGCCACATTTGTCTAGTGTGCCTGCTTTGAAATGTTCAGGGATCTATCAGAATTAATATTACTTGGAAAGCAGATGTCTTCAGAAGGCTTTAGATCTCTAACTGCCCCTTCAGCAACTCCAAAGAGATGCCCATCCATAGCAATATTGCAGCCTTTTTGGGTTGCCCTGCTGCTTCATAGCACTGAATATGATTCCAACTGTGCTGTTTTGGAATAGGATTTGAGTAATCTTTTTCTGTTCCAAAATAAAAATGAGCAATAAAAGAAGTCACAGTACTATGTTTGATATCACCTTGACTCATGAGTCTTCCTGTAAAGTTTTTAACAGTTTAAAAGTGCTTTATAAAATTAGGTAGGCCACAGTTTTATTGCTTTTCTTTTAAATAATGGGGCATGAAGTGGTTTTCCTACCTGTTTGATGTCCATTTATGTGACTGTCTGGGTTATTTCAAATGTCACATGCTGACAGTTAAGGTGGACTTCATTGTTTTGTCAGATTGTCTGTTAAAAGGTGATTGTCAAAGCAAGGGAAGTATAATAAACTAAGAGTGAGAAACACAAAACTATTAACTTGGCTAGATAAGTTCTGTGCTTCATTTTTATTGTATGCATTTCCAAAACATTGATCATTACTCTTTCTAAATGGCTTGCAATTAAAATATTCTAGATGTAAAGTAGCTGGGGAGGAAGAAACAGCTCTGACCATTCTGATTAGGGTTTCGAAATAGCTGTGTTTATAATGTAAATGATAGCATTATGTGGTTACACAAGTTTTGGATAAGGAAGGATAGGAGTACACTGCCATCAGCTACTATGTCTGACTTCTGCTTAACTGTCCTGTTTGGCTAAGTGGATTATTTAAAATGGGGGTATATTTGGACACATTCACTAAAAGCACTGATCTCTAGCTTTATGTGTTGTACTTGCAAAATGCAATTCTCCACATCTATCAAGGGTCAATGACACATTAGAGGGTATAGGCTGTCATGTTCAGGGTTCTGTACTAGTCTTTAGGTACATTTTAACCTGTTCAGTGGAAGCTGATAGCATTTTAGAGCATTATGTGATTTCTTCACTGTTCCTATAGAACTGTCTCTCTTGTATACAGATATTTTACATTTTCCTTGTTCAGTAGAATAGATCACTGGGTGGAAAGCTGGTCTCTTATTCAGCAGCTTTATATTGCTACATGGGGTACAAAGTTGATACACACGAATTCCAGTCAAAGAGGACAATTCATATAGGTATTTGTCCTTCAACTATGCTCTAGCTTATTTGGAAGAGTAATATGACCATAAGGCTTTCAATAAACTCGACTAAAACTTCCTTTTAGGGAAAGATAAAGGGTGTTCAAAAGGGAAAAGGCAGTTTATGCAATACAAGGTAACTTGGACAAGCTTCTTCCCCCCAAGGCATAATAGGTACATTTGCTATGCTGATAGAAGTTTAATTCTTTAAGTAAGAATTGAAGGGATACAGCAAACTTCATATTTAATCAATTAAAAAAGAGAAAGTTAAAAATAATGGCAGGTACTTTTCTTGCCCATGAGCCCCTTGCCCTTTCTTTCTTTCTTTCTTTCTTTGAAAATTAATTAAATTTAAAAAAAATTCCAGTTCCTACCTTCTGTGAAATATGTGGACAAAAGGGGAAATTAATTACCAGACTATTCATGGTATTGAAACAGGACATTAGATAAAGTGCTATAAAAACATACAAAGTAAACCAAAGAAGCTCCTTCTTGTAATCATTTAATACAAATAATTGCCAATTAGATATTATGTGTAAAACCTATTTAGACAGTGTATGAATTTAAAAAAATGATAATGTTCCTATAAAATGAAATTTGGATCTGACAGACAGACCATAGAGGTCCGATTCATAGCCTATTCCAGTCAATGGGCTTCAGATGAGCTATAAATGGTCTTTAACTCCCCCCCATACACGCACATACTAGTACAGTTAACCTATCATTCCCCTTTCCCACCCCACAAGGAGAGACAGAAGCTTATTTGAAGACAAACAAGTTATAGGACGTGTAAGGTGTAAATATCTTTCATAAATGCCAACACTAAAAAAATTCTCAGAGCTCAGAATATGACACATGAAAATAGACAGTTCACACTACATTAAGGAGGAACAATATGTAAGCGCTGTCATAGCTTCCTAGATGTGTGTTCATTGCCCCTGCTCTCCCCTCAATCCATACATCACAACAGGTAGTTCTCAGCTGTTCCCTTTGCAGCAGGCATACACTTCATCTAAAAAGACAGAAGACAGAACTACCTGCTGCTTACTGTATGGCTTTCCTGCATTTCCCTCCCAACACCTTCCCTCCCACCC